TGCATTGAAGCATCTTTGTCACAATTTGTATCCAGGCTGAAACATTATACTATTTTATACCAAAATTAGCACGTATGTGCAGGGTTTTTAAACGTGGGTAAGTCTGGTAAAAATAGGCGATTGACTCTTTTAAATCCCGTTTATGCCTCATTCTGTTCTCTATAGGTCTACATATTCTTAGACCGACAGATGGAGCAGTTTAACAGAAGGTACAGTTGTAGGTGTGACTGTTTTTTAAAGGCAAATGGTATACATGGCTCATGGGTCAGGTACGAGTGCCCCTTTGCAGAATGTTGCTTAGGGCCCCAGCAAGTTGCATGTCGATTTAAATAGTGCTCCTAAATAAATTCTGTGCAGTTGCTCCTAAAGCTTTCAGTCAGGAGAACCAGTGGTACTAGTGGAAAAAGTTCATCCGGAGCCCTGCAGCCCCAAGCACAGCTGCAGAGTCATTTGACCAGGGAATGAATGCCGATTGTACCCTTTCCCACTGAAGAAAAAGACAGTGGACGTGAAACACATTGACTTAACATGCGAGATCTGAATAGCCAGAATTATCCGGCAAAAAAACAGGCTAGAAAATTAATACTTAGAATCCTAGCTAGCTGCATAAGGACTATAAGCTGCTCCTCTGTCTACGCTCTACCTCACATACTGTTGGCTCTTGCGCTTTGGTGTGAACGCGCTAGTCTATGCTTTTATGAATTCAGTTGTCTTGATTTTTTTTTTTTTTTTTAAATGATTTGTAATCCGTTATTGCATTTGTTGTGTTGTGTCCAATATGCTTCCAGTAAAAACCTTTTAAGGGCAAAAGCTGTGCACCTATAAATGTCAAAAAATACTCTAACCTAAAAAGGAGAAAATAGGTTGTTTATCTATGCCTCCCAAAACGACACACATGAGCGTTTCTCATACGTTACTATGTAAGTCACGTAACGCAAGTCATATGACATTAAACACGTAGTTAACATTATGAAACAGTCGCAGTTTGGTTAGGTTTAGGCAACAAAACTATCTATTTAGTTAGGAAAACATCATGGTTTGGGTCCATTACGCAAGTCACGTGATGTATATCACATTACTTCACATGTGACAGAACTCATGTTAATCACATGAGTGATGTCAGTAATCCTAACCCGAACCCTTAACTTTTTTTCACATGGGACTCAAACGGCGTTCTCTTGCACTGAAAGTCTTGGACTCAGACTTTGTTGCTATTTATATGATATTTATACTATTTATTTGCTACTTACTCCTGTGGTACCATCATACGGCCACTAGAAGGTGATGGTATGAGGACAGGCTGAGGCAAGGATTATACTTTCCGCCTCCGCGAGTACGCGCGGGTCCGCTAGGGTCCGTGAAAAAATCGCCAACAGAGGGGGTACGCGTAGGGTCTGTGCGCATAGACTATACCAGCAAAACAGAATGCAAATACATTGACTGTTTACTGCGGAAAAATGCCTGCCATAAATAATATCAAATATAAGATGTGAATTTTAGGATTATACCTTTAAACTCTGAGTCATTTGGAGGAACTATAGACAATGTTCCTCTATTCCTCTGCAGTTATGCAACAGGTCACTGTTTCAGCACCAAGCTTAATGCCATCTCCATTAGGGGATCATATTTGCTCCTCAAAAAGGCAAAGAAAAAGGACCTCTTTTGACTGCGGCACAGAAGCTGGCAGGTTATGCAATGGCAATGAGCGGGAGGCAACAACTCAAGAAATGATGTTACATAACTGACAAGGCGCATTCACACAACCCGCTGGGCAGCCAAGTGGAAAACAGGGTACTCTAGCGTTGACAGAAAAGGGGGGGGGGGGGGGGGGGTAAGGGTATTGTGTGGATGTTTGGGGTAAAAAGCTGGATAAAAAGGAGGTGTGTGGGAAATGTATCGTTAGGCTGAGAGGACAGAGGTATGCTGCCTCGTTGGAAGGAAAACGTGCGCAGAGACAGAAAGAGCTTTGTGTGAATAGAGATGTCGTTTCTCATTATAATGCATGAGGCACTTTGAGAGTCTCCGTTTAAATAAAGGCGAGACATCTCAACCCCATTTCCCCCAGCCCTCATGGTTAAAAAAAAAAAAAAAAAAAAAAAATCAGGGGAAGAGGAATTCACGGCCTGAGGCAAGGGCAAGTGATTGAAGAACAGGAAAAAGAGCCAGAGTTAGAGGAGTTGGTGAATGAAAGAGAGAGAAAGAGAAACTCACAGCCGAGCACCATTAGTTCCCATTAAGTTCTTGTTTATTCACTTATCTGCACAAAGATGCATTGCTCCAATCTGTTGTGTACAAGAGTGGAATTTGGGTCTGGAGCCGGGAGACTTAGCGAGCCATGCTGTGTTGTGTCCTGAATGGGCTCTATCACACGCTAACAGTGTATTTCCACTGGGACCGGTCACGTGTCAGCCAATACTCCCTGGCGTATTCTAAGCATCTCTGTACCACAGGAACTAACAGATGTGAGGCCACAATGTGGACGCAGAGAATTTGAAATCAACCAACCCTGCAATTACAAAGTAAGACGTTCACATTCTTTTAACACCAGCAACAAGCTGCAGTTTCCTGCATTTGGCCTTGTTGAAACTTCACAAGTGAAGAGAACGGCAGCAACAGTCAAAATCTGCAGTTAGCGGCGGTGAAATTGAACCATCGCCGCTGTGAAACAGCTGTCCATTAAAGTAACGAATGGAAAATAATAAAAAACATTTCCGTGAAAATAATTTAAATCCCAGACTGTGGCTCACCGCAAACATGTGAAATGACGTTTCTTTTACAGAAGTAAAGAGGATGAGAGTCAAGGGTTAAAAGCCTTTGCCTGCTAAATCCAATATTGGGCGACACCAGCTGGAGAGCCAGGTGGGTAACTGCAGGGTGGGCCAATCATTGCTCTATATAGAACACCACAAACCACCACCACAAAAAAAGGAACGGGAAATAGACAATTTTCTCTATCAATAACAAGTGTCCTGGTGTAGATCAGAAGCAGTGGATTTTTTCCCCGCTTTACACCCTCATTCATGCATGTTTCCTTGAACTCTTCAGCCGACCTGAAGGATTTCTTGCGTCTCTGGAGAGTTAATTTCCTGAGAGGAGGATATATGTAGGTGGAGCTGCTGCTGAGCTCATTCTACAGTATCTGAAATCCATCACTGACATAATGTTAATTCCTCAGGCTGTGGGCAGCAGCACAGGCCAAACCTTTTTCCCTACCCTGACTTTTCCCATGCCTTGTCATAGGTTTAATAGCCTCCTTTGCAATGACTGAAACTTTAATTTTGTTATCAACACCCCTCCCCTCCTCCTCACTTTCTCCATCCTCCCTTGTTTGACGTGTGCTGCCGATTCCACCCAGGTTCCTAGTAGCCGTTCATCATCCTCACCATCCTTACAGTTGACTCAGCCCGGGGCGCTCACTGCCCATTAAGACACACCCCAACCAAAAATAACTCAAGTCAGGATGGATCTCAGTATGTTACATAAAAAATAACATATCTCACAGAGAAGCTGTGACTCACTCACTGCAGCGAATTAAGGCTACGACACAAATGAGTGCTCAGACGTGCATTAAATCTTTTGTATTTGAGGAAAATACATATTTTTGTGCACATATTATGCCATGCCAGAGATTCTCTGGAACCGTAGCTGAGCATGAGCAGCAGCTGAAATGTTTGCTGCCACTCCTGTTACGTAAGAGGACTTCCATCCACTCACATAATTGATTCTGACCCCTGTGGCAGCTCTGATGTGTGCTGCGAAGTGCAAAAAAAGATCAGCACTGAAGAACAATTTTTTTGTGCCCAGCATGCGGCCAAAGATAAACACAGCATTACTCAGGGTTCAACAGGACAGCAGCATGTTCCCTGAAAATAAACTGAGCAGGGTGCATATTATGTGCAGCCTCCAGATTCAAAGCAGCGATGTAAATTTGTGTTTATCTTCACGACCTGAGCTCCTTTAATCCTCTGCTTTGGTCTTGCCTGTGTGCATTTCTTTCCCTGTAAACATCTGTTATAGTAAATATAAGATGATGTGGCTCAAAGCCCTTCGTCCAAGTGGGTGTTTTGTGTCACCCCCATCTTTGTTTACAAGGATGCAAAAGATGCATGTTTGCAGGCTTTCATGAGTGGGATATCTCAGCATATGGCATTTCTGCACTCTTGGCATGGGCTTCCATCAGCAATGCTGCAAAGCCAACTGCCACGCTTGGATGTTTACCAAACACAACAAATTAAAAATGGCACAGATCAGAGTCAAAATAAGACAAATCACTTATTCATATTTGTGGAGATATAGCGCAGACGGGGAATTTTTTCTCTCTCTTGTAAGTTAAAAGCATTGTATATAAAAGTATAAATTTGTTAAAATATTTGTACTTTGGTGCTTTTGTTTACATTGCACCAGCTTTTTGTTTTCCCAGTTGTCTGTGAATCATTTACATTGGCACCAACTCTTTCCCTTAAAAATGCCTAATCTAAGGATAGCTATGAACTTAATTTAAGTGAGAAATTCCTTTGGGAAGAGTAGTAAGGGTTTACATTTTTCCCACCACTGAACTAAAAGCCTAAAGCAATGTTGAGCTTCGTGGAACAAATATTAGTCCCCTGTCAAACATACACCACAAAAATACTTTTAATACCTTACTGTATGTTGAGATATAGCTCTAAACCCAGATAAGTAGCCACATCGTATGTTTACATTCAGAACTTCATTTGAAAAGTAGGCATTTTAGAAAGGTCAGTTCTGTAACGTTAGCTCAACATAGATTAATTCTAGTTGTGACACGTATAATTTTTTTTAATGAATGGGCATTCACTGTTTTGCATCTGATTTAATGGCATTTGTAAATTAAGGAACTATAGCATAACAAAACTGTGGAACAAGATGTCCCAAAAATATCGATCCCCTGTCAGCGCTGTAGTTTTGGCTACCGAGCGAGAGCACCATCATGACCTATTAAGTAATTTTTAAAAAGGTGGGATCAAATAAAACGGGCTTACCGAAGTACACCGTCTTGTCACACTTGGGGCATTTTGAAGACATGTTGCGGGTTGTTGTGGGGTCGAGTGAAAGTGATCTGTTTTGTTTGTTCGAAGTCTGAAGTCCACTTTCTCTTCGTCCTCTTGCTCTTCTCTCCACAGCAAGTGTCCCGCTCCGCACACAGAAGCTGGGAGCATCTATTCAGTCAACGGCTGCTCATTTGCATAGCCCCGCCCCCCAACACAACAGTCCTCGTGCCTTCTTTACGGGTTGTGGGAAATTTCACAACTTGACGCCTTGTTTGAAGACCAAAAAGAAGAAAGAAAAGAAAGACTGAAATTTGGTGACTTTCCATAATGTAACGTCAGCTGAATGCCTGTTTCACCATTTTCTCTTCATTCTGCCTCCAAACCACATTTTATTAGTAAACTACGACGGAGTATTAGGGGGGGAAACTTGAGGATGAAGATTTTATATTTGTTTTGCATTTCCAGAATAAAAGTAGAAATGTTGAGAATTAAGTCAAAATGTCCTGAATAAAGTGAGCATAATGACAATAAAGTTGGAGTACCATTTCGAGAATAAAGGAAATGAGGAGAATAAAGTTGAAATGTTGAGATTAAACTTGAAAAGACGAGAATATAGTCAACTCCTTATCAAAAAACGTTAGAGTGACTGTCCGCCATGCCAGCTACCATGTAGGCTACATCACAGACATATGGGTTAGGCTACATCAAAGTCCTAGACTATAAAACCTCTCTGGCTATATCCCTGGAGTGTAAAGATGAGTTTATGAAGAGGTGCAACTGTATTCTCAACTGAAAGCAAAAGCTGTGTCTATGATGTTGGTACTTCAGTTTAATTCTCATCATTTTGACTTTATTCTTATCATTTCAACTTTATTCTCAACATTTCAACTTTATTCTCGAAATGCAAAATAAATAAAAAATCTCCATTCTCATTCTTTTTCCTTAATGTAGCAACTACCCAAGTTAAAGTAGCCCTGTAGCAAACATTAGTAAAGTAAAAATTTAGCTACAACTCACTTTTCTGAATCTTTGGAGGAACTTTTTGTATATAAGCATGTGCCATGAAAAAACAACGACAGGGTCTATTTTGCTTTTATTTCAACATGAGTTACAAGTCATAAGATACATAAGATAACAGATTTCTGAAATAAAAACCAAGGATATGTAAAGTACATAATAAACAACATGATAGGGAAATATGATGATGATGAGACTGGTAACTACATAATGTACCAACCTAATCTGTATATTTCTTATACATGTCTTCAGGATTGCTTTGTCTTTGGCCATCTTTTCTATGAACTCCTGTCGTTCTTTTTGAAGTGGGTAACTATCATGCTCCATCTCTGACTAACAGGTATCTCAGATGTTTTCCATTCTTCAAGCGTTCCCCCCCTCTTTAGGAACTTTTGCAGGCCAGTAACCTCGTCAAACAATGCGTCCTCATCGATGGTCACATTGGGGCATTTTGCCTGCAGTTGCTTTTTAAAAAGGAAACAATGCAAATCTTTTAGATTTTGCTTGTGCTTTCCCCATGATTGCAACTAGTTCACAGCCAAAGTGAAGAATGATTGAGATGTTTTCAGAAAACTCTCTTTAGACATTGCTCCATCTCCTCTATCAAAGCTGTTCTGGCTGTGTTATGAATGATGCGGGCAGGACAGCCTAAGCCAATCACTTCCCGCCTTTTCAGTCCTCCAAATTTGGTATTTGTGGTACGGCAGATAATGCCATGACTTTGTTTTCCTGGTTGCATTTTGGGATGACCACCAGGACCTCAGCTGCAATTCATAATCAAATCATACGCTATTACACTATTTTAATACTAATGTTACTCATCTCCTTCCTTTCCACTCTACCAGGCTTGAAAGGATGTTTGTGGTGATGCTGTTGATTCACTTGCCTTGACCTTGCCAAGTTTTCAGCAGCAGTTTTCACTAAAACTAGTGTGAGCAAGTAGTTATGTAACAGAACAAGATGAGTGATATGAAGCTGCTAGAGCCAAAACAAGCACACCGCGACTGAAACATCAAACGGTAGTCTTTATTGCCACAAAAAATATTATTTAACTTTTGGGGTTTGTGTTTAATGCACACTTAAAAACAGGGCCATGTCAAATTAGCTACAATTGAAGTCTTTGGGAGGTCATTGAACAGTGTGAAACCACACCACCTCCCCCAACCTTTCCATCGTTGGAATTGGGAGCCTGCATCCAAAACCTTTTATAACTTTCAGAAACTGACAATCCGGCTTTACAGAGCGATTGGACAGGTGGATGGAGTTAAAAAAGTGTTAATTTGTGTAGTGTTCAAGTGTGGTCATTTGGACCAACTATAAACACTTTAAACTTTAGACGTGATTGAATCGTTTCTAGCATACTCCGGTTCCAGCTGTATTTGAAGTTGTAGGTTTTACAAGCAGCACTTGAAGGCAGCGTTTCTTTCTCTATGGGCCAGGCAGTGGTTTGTCGCAGCCAGCCCAGGCCAGGTGGGAAAGCTTTTGGGCAAGTGGTGGGGCAGTCCACTGGGGTAGGCTACATTAAGACCCATTTCCTTTTTCCCCCTTTACCACACAAGAGGAGCAGGAGTAGTGTTTGGTTGAAACACAATGCTCTCATTCAGAGTGAGTGACTTGTAGGAACATTTTTTGGGGCAAAGGAAGACACTGAAATGTGGCTCGGGTGAATCAGCTTTCTCTTAGTAGAGCTGCTGGCTTCATTACAAATTAGGCCTACTGAGGCAGACAGGCAGAGCAGAAAAACAACTTCTGAATTAAAGAATGACAAGTCATTGTTGCATTCATTTCTGATGGCTAATTAAAGGACTCTTTGACAAAACATTATCAGTTCCTCCGGCAGTGTGTCTCCATCTTTCCACAGGGCCTCTTGAGAGTGACTGAGGTCATCTCTTTCACACATCGGTGCTGTCTGGTGTGTCTATCTAGTGACACAGTGCAGGTCCTGGTCCAGGAACAGACTGATATTTCCCACATCTGTGTCCCGGCTGATTAGCACCCGTCAGCATGCCTGTTACCAGTTCCTCCTTATCTCTGAGCTCACTGTTTTAAAAAAAAGAATAAATTAAGTCAGGTGGAGAATCAACAGCCTCTTAAAGGCAGCAAAACTGTACACACTGGATTTTTTGGGCAATCCTGGTCAGCAGAAATTCCCAAACAGATGTTTCACAGCATTTCCTACCCGGTGCTGAGTTGAAGTAGTGAGTCTTCCTGCCTCAGCGCTCAAAGTGTGTGTTTCACAGTGGACATGAGTTCATTACCGTTCACCTCCAGTTGTTTGCTGCGGTTGCAGGTTTGTTGCCAGTTCAGCTGCGGCACACAATCAGACTCAAACCTGCTGAGGGTTAGAGGAGGTCAAACATACCACAAAGCAAAACGGAGACAAAGAGGAGGCAGGAGACTGAAACTGAAGTGCCAATGTTGTCTGAAATCCTGGGCTCACTGAACACATGCAATAAAAGATTAAAGGAGTGGTATGTTATTCCCACTATCTGTTCTATAAGACATCTATGTGAGGCTGAAAAAGTGAATAAACAATCAGCAAAATTCCTTAGAAAAATAATGTTTTTTTAATTTTCAAGGCTGAGATATGGAGCAAAAATGAATGATAAGTGAAGGAACAGATGCTCCTGACATGTTCTCTGGGGCAGCGTGATTTGATGCTTCTGAGGAGTGGGTAACCCTGGGGAGACTGAAGTGGACATATCCAGGCCACTATACTTCTAACTTGTTTCTGATGTGGTGCTTGGTTCAGACCCACACTCCAGTTTGTTTCTGCAGAGCAGATCAAGCATCCAGCTCCACGGGAAAAGACAGGAATAGACAGAGAGAGAAGGGTGAGGTGGTCCTAAGGGCTTAAAAGCATGTTAGTATTTTACTTACAGAGGGGCAAATAGGTGGTAGAGGTACCACTGTACTAGTCAAAGGCACACTCCACTTTATAATGTATGTGGCAGTGGAGGAAAAGTCTGAGAAAATAATCCCAATCATGTCATCAGAATCTTTCAATTCACCATGAGTCTTTAAATTTATGAACTGGGGGTGAGCAGCTTGAGTACCACTTTAAATATTCCCATACAAAGGAAAACCTGTTAGTTTAAAGCTAACATAAATGTAATATGAATTTGAATTTCTTAAAAAATTCACTCATTCATTCAAAATCATTCAAAAAAGCGTAAGTGCCTTGCCATTTCAGAATGGCAAGGCAAGAACAGCTGAATACAATGCTTCTTTGTGTAAGAAAAATTACATATTTTAAAATATCAAAACCACCACTCGAATAGGGTGATCTTCATCTCTGTTTGGCTGCTGGATATTCATGTATGTGTGCTGTTGTAAGTGTCAGTAGGCGGGGTCATCATCATCATGTAGTGGAGCCACCTGGGGCCTGGTGTTCTCCATATAAAAGCAGATCCTATCTGTGGCACTTAGGAGATGGAGAGGAGAGGCACGCAGTTCCCTTTACTCCTCGCTCCCTATTCTTTTTGCTTTCTTTCTTAACACTACATCGCACTCATCATTCCATCCATGCATACATGCTGACACTACTGATTCACTGATTACCATACTCCACTGCATTATTTAATTAGTTTTGTTTTGTTAATTAGACATTTGAGTTATTGTAAAATAAAAGTAATGGTACCTTTGCTGCAGCTGGTTGTGGCATTTTGATTATTCATGTCAGGGTTTTTGAGCCGGCCAGTGACATGGTAAAAAGCTCATTAAAAAACAAAAGGTTTTAATTACACTATCTATAGCATGCATGCAACAGTGGTGCAATGAAAGTGCATTTACTCAAATACTGTACTTAAGTACAAATTTGAGGTAGAGTATTTCCATTTCATGCAACTTTAACCTTGTACTCCATTACATTTCAGAGGCAACGGTTGTGGCAACTTTTTACTCCACTACATTTCTCTATCAGCTTTAGTAACTAGTTACTTTTTAGATTATAATTTTTCATACCGTCTCTGTCCACTGAAAAAATGTATCTCCAAATTTGGTGATTTGGTGAATTTGAGTTTTTTCTGATAAACTGAGGGATGAAGTGTTACTCTATGAGTTTTCTCCTATGGAAACAGACCCCTCACCCTTGCAGTATAAGTGCTCAACCCTTTGCCCTACACAGGGCCACGGGGGCCCTGAGCAGTGACTCCAGCAGCAGAAGGGTGTTTATGAATTGTAGCCGCACACCTGTCCTAAACACCACTCACCCCAACAAACATTATACAAGCCCCGTGCCTCAAGGCCAAACAGGTGCCAAAGCTGCCTTTGGCCTCAGTCAGTGACAATCTAGTGTCTGCCTTCCTTTTTGTTTCCTGTTCATTCCCCCCTCCCAACACACACACACAAACCAACACATTCATGCTCCACAGATGCAAATTGCAGGCATAATCCACATGAGCCATGTGACACGGCAGTTTACTTTGAGGAGCCCGCAGAATGGCCAGTCTGAGCCCAGCCCAAGACCACAGTAGGCTGCTTCTTCCTGCAAGTGGGTGCAAGTGCAAGAAAGAGTCAACCAGATCATTTGGGTCAGATTGAGGGGTTCTCTATTTAGAGTGGACAAGCACATCATTTAAAAGACCGCAGTTGTGGAATTTCTGAAAATGCAAGAAGAGACTGTTTGTATGGACAACACGTGATCTGTTCAGTGAACATGTGCTTATCTTTGAGGAAGAGAGAGAAAAAAGAGCCTGAATTAATTATTGATATGTTCCCACAGCAGACGCTCTAGAGTGGCGATTATTTTAGAAACAGTAGCCTATGTTTAGCACTGCAAGTGAGTAAGATTAAACATTTTCAAAAGATGATAAGCTATATGTTGGGTGACAGACACACTCTAGGAGACTGAGTGTTCAAGATTTTAGTAGACAGATACTCTATCTTTTGGATAAGACTGAGAGGACAACAGGGTCCGTGTTAAATGCCCTTTCTCTGGGTCTCAAAATGTGATGTAACTTGCCTCCTTATATGATGCTGTCCTCTTGTTGGGCAATAATACAAACAAGTTACTAGAAAA